ACCTACAGTGAGGAACACCCACTGTAGGCAAGTTGTTCCACTGATTAATTGTTCTCACTGTCAAGAAATTTCTCCTTAATTCTAGGTTGCTTCTCTCTATGATTAATTTCCATCCATTGTTTTTTTTAATAATATTTTATTACTTTTTCAATTTTACATTTAAGTATTTAAAAAGCAACATGGCGACTGGGTTAATCAATAGTTCGATAACAAAATCTTTAGTACAAATCTCAAGTTACAACATCAGATATTTCTTCTCTTTTTCCCTTAACATTTACTGTCTCGTATTCAAGCTAGTACAATTATATCAACTCATTATTCCTTATCTTCTGGTACTTTGGAGAATAGGTTGACCCCTCTTCTTTGTGGCAGTATTGGAAGACTGCTATCACGTCACCCCTAGTCCTTCTTTTCTCTAGACTAGCCAATTCCTGCAACTGTTCTTCAAATGTTTTAGTGTCCAGGCCATTTATTGTCTTTGTTCTTCTTCTCTCTGATATTTCCAAAGTCTCAACATCTTTTTTATAAAGTGGTACCAAAACTAGATGCAGTATTCCAGATGTCGTCTGGAGTACCACACCTGCTGAAACCAAATCTGAATCTTTTTTTTTAGCTTTCTCCAATTTTTCACCATGAAACTTCAGTCAAAAGCAATCCCTATGCTTTGAATGGTTGTGACATAAGGACAGCCTGATGACCAGATTCAGGAGATGAAGGACATCAAGAGCAGTTGCTCAGTGAAGATGCTGAAAAGAGAGATAACCTCATACCTGTTTGGGTTTCATGTCTCCTTGAGAAGAAGGAAGGTGTTCAGCTGGAGTATCTTCCTTCAATTCAACTCCATCACTCTCAGTTTGGTACCCTGAAATGGTGGAGAAAACATCTTGCCCTTCTTCTCGATGGCATTTTTGAAGAGATTTTGTGTGTCTCTCTCAATCGTCTCTTTTTTAGGCTAAACATTCTCCATTTCTTTCTCCCTGTGTCTTCATAAAAGTTTCTAGAAAGCCCCTTGATCATCCTTGATGCTCTTCGCTGAACCCACCTTCATTTCTCTGAATTCATCCTCAGGAGTGATGGATTGTGCAGAAGAGAGGAGCACAGTGGCTTCCCAAGATTTAAAAGCTATCCTTCCCTTGGGACAACCTGGGATTATGTCTGCCGTTCTTTCCATACTGTGTAGTTGGCTTATAGTAAGCTTACATTGAGTTATAATGCCAAGTCACTTTTTCAAGAATACCTCACTCTGGTCCTCTACCTTTGAGTTGCTATTCTTTGCTGCTGTTCCCTTTCGTTTGCTTATTTTCAGCTCGTTTCTGTACCCCCTCGAGATCTTTCTGAACTTTATTGCTGCCACCCAGTTCTTCTGTCTCTTGCATGCAGGGAACATCCCTTCCAAAGTCATGATGTTGAAGAGTGGAAGATCAGGATTGATCCTCAGGCCAGCCTCTTGATACATGTCTAGGACAGCTAGCCTCAGCCAACTCACCACAGAGACAATTCAATGGGGGATAACTCAAGAAAAGGACAAGTGAATTGCAGTGGGCCTTGTGGGACTGACCCAAGTTAGAAATTCTTGAGGCTAGGGTGAACTGCAGTTCCCTTGTCCTTCTGTTGAGTTATCCCACGTTAAATTGTCCAGCAAGTTGGTCCCAAAGCAAGTTGTCCCCGCAGGGAATTGGCAAGGGTGAGTTGTCCTTTTCTGCTTGCTATTGCTCTCCAATTTAAGGATTAGCTATTAATAAGCATTCTTGAAGTTTGATTTTTTTTAACCAGTTATATATCCACTTAATGTCATACCATCCATCTACGTTTAAGTGCTCCTAATTATGAGGTAAGTTTTTTGACTTGTTCACAGTATTTGGATAGTGTTCCCTAAGACTCCAAGTGACAGCACACAATCTATTAAGGAATCTCCCCATCAAAAGAAATGAGATAAGAGTTATTTATTTATGTATTTAATTGATTGATGACTGATTGATTGATTTAAAAGACCTGTAGATCCATTCAGCTTAAGTAATTCTGAGTGGCTCACAATAATGAGAAAAAACAATGAATAAAATAATCATAAAGCAGGTTAAAAAAAAAGATTGGGCAAATAAGATTTGTTCCTGACAAATCCATGCCAATTTTTAGTACTGTATTATTTTAAAGCAGGGGTGTCAAACTGCCAGCCCACAGGCTGGATGCATCATGGCGAAACTGCGCCCACCCTATTGCTGGCAATGGGAAAAAAGTCGCAATACGTTGCGACACGTCACGTGATGTTGCGAATTTGACATCCGTGTTTTAAAGGTATTTTGGAATAACCATTTTATGATGCGCTCAGGAATCTTCTTAGACTTTGACTTCAGCTTGGCTGGTCTACAGATCCTCCTTTTGAAGATAAAGTGACATTTGCTTTTCTTTAATCATCTGGCATTTCTCCGGTTGCCCAGGACTTATTAAAGATAATAAGCAAAGGCTGGTCCACGAGATAAGCTGGTTCCTTCAGCAGGGTGCGGTTCTTCTGGTTGTCAAGCTCTAAACTGAGTAAAAATGAAGAAATGTCCTTAGCTGTGTTTCTTGTCAAGCTTCAGTCCTGCTCTTACCATCTCCTGCTAAAAGGCTTCTTTGCTGCCTTTTTCCCGTCTGTTCTCATATTCTGCCTTCCCTGAACAGCAGCAAACATTCAGATGCAATTCTTTCTTAACTCAAGCTGAGATATTCTTAGCCTTCCTTCTCGAACTTCAGGCTGAACCAGGCCAACTCGTCTGCCATCGTCTTTTGCAACTTGACCCTCTTTCAAGAAGGTGGAAATGTTTGTGTTCGGAATTTTTATTAGGCCTTTTATGTAGCCAGCTGAGCATCTTCTGAACGGCTTTCCTTTGGAACTTGTGGGGGCTCCATCAGTGAAGGTGTTCAAGAAAAGATGGGAAAGCCATTGGTCTGGAATGGTATAGGTGTCCTGCTTGGATAAGGGGTTGGTCTAGAAAACCATCAAGGTCCCTTCCAATTCTGTTATTCTGTTAATTAATCAGTGGAATGGCTTGCCTCCGGAAGTTGTGGGACATCCATCACTGGAGGTTTTCAAAAATATACTGAACAACCATTTGCTGAAATAGTATAGGGCAGGGCTAGGCAACCTTGGCTCTTTTATGACTGGTGGACTTCAACTCCCAGAATTCCTGAGCCAGCCATGCTGAGGGGAAAGGGAGAGGTTTCCAAGCTGAGCCATGCTAGCTCAGGAATTCTGGGAGTTGAAGTCCACGAGTCATAAAAGAGCCAAGGTTGCCTACCCCTGGTATAGGGCCTCCTATTGGAGCAGGGGGTTAGACTAGAAGACCTCCAAAGTTCCTTCCAACTCTGGTCTTCTGTATTCTAATGTAATACATTTAAGATTAAGATAACTTTTATTGTCATTTTTTACTGTGAACATACTGGCTCACATTAAAAATGAAATTCTGTTGCTTACTCTCAAAAGAAAGTATTTCTACCCATACACATACAATACACAGAGATAGACATGCTATATACATACATATTATCTACACCCATGCATACATATACATATACATACATATACATATACTAATCACTGTCCATTTTGAAGACAAAGCAGAAAGAGGAAACTTGAGAGTTGACAAGGTGGATACTATAATGCAAGGGTGTCAAACTCAATTTCACTGAGGGCCACATCAGCATTATGGTTGCCCTTGTGGGGCCTGGTGGGTGTGGCCAGAGTGGGTGCAGCCTACTGGGTGGGCATGGATGGAGTGGGTGTAGCCTACTGGGTGGGTGTGGCCAGTTCTACATCATTCACGACAAGGGTGCCTATGGGGGCCTGGGCAGGAGTGGGACAGATCTGAGGGTCTCTGGCAGAAAGGGGTGGGACCGGGGCAAGTGCCAAGGCATAGCCACCGGAGCAAGTGCCAAGATGACCACCACAAAATTGTACATGGTTCCTGGCTGGCCTGGGCCAGGGCCAAGGCAGCGGGGGCCATTCCCTCACTGTTTCCAGGATGGCTTCGTGGGCCACATGAAACCACTTCGCGGGCCCCATCCGGCCCCCGGGCCTTGTGTTTGACATGTCTACTATAATGTGCACCCTTTTGCTCACTCCTATCTTGGCAAAGGGATGTTTTTCCTCCCAAGAGGGAGAAAATTAACGGGATTGAGGAGGTGTGGGAAACAGCTGGGGAGGGTTGTTTTGAAGGAAGTGCCCAGTGAGAGGAAAACCAAGAGCTTTCTCCCCCTTCGCTTTCAGCTGCTTTCCCTGGGGACTTTCCTCCAGCCTGCCTTTGCAGTAATTTTAGACGGCCACTGTCTTTAATATGGGACCTTTGTAGTCGGTAGCTGAGAGGAGGGGTCTGCTGGGGGAAGCAGCTCCAAGAGAACCGAGAAGTCGAATAGGGGTGATCAGAGCCCAGTCCCAGCTTTGCAATCCTCAACACACCGTTCTTGCAGTGTGGGGTGGGTGGAAATAAGGCAACTCCAGGAAGTGGGGGGTGTGTGAGAGAGCAAATTGCTCCTAGACCTGAAGAAAATTCTGATGCACTTAAGAGGGAACCGAACCATCCTGCCAGCTTCCTTCTCTTGGGGCATCTGGGTGTCTTGTGCCAGTCATAGCCCAACCCGGCTGGAGCACCCCAATCTGAGGATCAAGGCAGTCCCTGGTTCTGCAGAGCCCACCGGGGCTGGCTTTTGGGGAGGGGGGTTGCTGAAGTTCAAGGTCAGCTGGGGGCGCTGCGGCAGGGGACCCTCCTCCCCCAAAAGCCCTCCCGAAGGACATTCCAGGCATTGCTGGGGGGGGGGGCGAAGGAAGAAGACCCTGCGGAGAAAAGCTGAGGCTGCCCGGGGAGAGCTGCACGGGGGTGTCCTTGTCGTCCTAGCGGGCTCCCTTGGGGGGGGAGGCCGGACCGGCGCAGGCGGCGGGAGGGCTGCGGTCGGGCGCTGCGCCTGCGAGCCCGGCTGGCGAGGACAGGGGCGCCGGATCCGGCCTCACCCGCGGGTTATCTCCGCAGAGGCAGCCATGGGGGTGCTGATGTCCCGGCGGCAGACGGTGGAGCAGGTGCAGAAGGTCAGCCTGGCCGTCTCGGCCTTCAAGGACGGGCTCCAGGAACGGGCCGCCGCTAAGCGCCCGGCCGAGGGGACCGCCAGCCGCCGCGGGACCCTGGAAGAAGGCGCCGTGCAGGAACTCCGCGAGGAGGAGGAGGGGGCGCCGAGGGGACCCTCCCGGTCGTGGGGCGGCGTGACCCGGAGCGCCGCCTGGGCGAGGCTGCGGGACGGCCGCGGCGTGGAGCCAGAGGAGCTGGACCGGCCTGCCTGCTTCACGCCCCCTGCCCTGGTCCGCCCCGTCCGGCCGACGCGCGAGGAAGAGCGGCTGGAGATCAGCCTGGAGCAGCGCGAGCAGGTGAGCCGGGGGGGGGGAGAAAGGGGCGCAACCAGTTCCTGCCCCAAGCTTTTCGGGGGGGGCTGTTCCCGGGACTGACCCAAATCAAGCGGGCGAGGGTTCCTGCACCTGCTGCTCTCAGGCCCCGCCCCCCCACCTGTCCAGGTGTGCTTAGGAACCCGCTTCCCACGGGGGAGGGTCAGTCAGCAAAGATGCCCCCCAAGAGCCCCTGTTGGGATCAGGACATAGCCCACTTTCTCTCCTCTCTCTCTCTCAACCATCAGCTGCTTGCAAGTGGTATAGGTAATGGTAAGGGGTCTCCGGCTGGAGCAGGGGGTTGGACTAGAAGACCTCCAAGGTCCCTTCCAAGTCTGTAACTGAACAACTTGGGAGCCCTCAGGATCCTTGGGAGCCAGATCCTAGCCAACCCATCTGAGACTGGATTTTCAGGCATATACACACACCCCTTCCCAATTGGCTGCCACCCTTATAGCAACCAGCAGCGATTCCCTCAGCGGTAGGCAACCTTGGCTCTTTTATGTCTCGTGGACTTCAACTCCCAGAATTCCTGAGCCAGCCACGCTGAGGGGAAAGGGAGAGGTTTCCAAGCTGAGCCATGCTGGCTCAGGAATTCTGGGAGTTGAAGTCCATGAGTCATAAAAGAGCCAAGGTTGCCTACCCCTGTTCTAGCTGGACTCTGCTGTGGGCAGAAGAACCGTCTTCGCTTGGCCTGAGTCTTCTTACATCTTGGTTCAGGGAAGGACTCCGCATTGCAAAAGAGGGCCAGATCCTTTTCTCTCTCCAGACTGTTTAGCAGCTCAAATGGGGTGAGGGTGTGTGTCTGCCCCAGCCTCTTTCCATTATTTCCTTTTTGCCCTTCTTGGCCCCTTTCCTAGGTCTGTCATTTCTTCCCTAAGGTGCATTGCCCAGAATGGAAGAGAGCCTACCAAGTGTAGCTTTGCTGCTAATTTGCTTCAAGGCTTGGTTGTGGATCCTTCTTTCTCTTTGCAAGGATCCCTCCTCTCTGGAGGATTCCAAGCATGAAATTCCCCATTTTTGTGGAATAGCCCTGAAGCTGATTGCCCTTTTCATCATTCTGTCCTCCTTCGTGACTTCAAAGTCGCTTTCCAATCAGTCACGGCAGGCCCAAACCCTCTTAATGTATAAATCCAGTGATGCTGCCAGTCTCCATCCCTTATACAGGTAGTCCTCAACTTATGACCACCATTTGGGTCATAAGTCAAGGAGCCCAAAATTTCTGTTGCTAAGTGAGATAGGTTTTTAAATATTTTTCCCCCATTTTATGATCTTTCTTGTTATGGCCTTTCTTAAGCGAATCTCTGCAGTTGTTAAGCTGTTAAGTGAATCTGGCTTCCCCATTCACGTTGCTTATAAGAAGATGGCAAAAGGCAATCATGTGACCCTGGGACACTGTATAGGAGTCATTTGACAAGCGTCTGAATTTTGATGACCCTGGGAATGGTGCAACCGTTGTAAGCGTGAAAATGGAATGGAACGGAATGGAATAGAATAAAGAGGGAATGGAATGGAATGGAATAAAGAGGGAATGGAATGGAATAAAGAGGGAATGGGATGGGATGGAATGGAATGGAATAGAATAGAATAAAGAGGGAATGGAATGGAATAAAGAGAATAGAATGGAATAGAATAAAGAGGGGATGGAATGGAATGAAATAAAGAGGGAATGTAATGGAATAAAGATGGAATGGAATGGAATAAAGAGGGAATGGAATGGGATGGAATAGAATAAAGAGGAAATGGAATGGAATAGAATAGAATAGAATAGAATAGAATAAAGAGGGAATAGAATGGAATGAAATAAAGAGGGATGGAATAAAGGGAATGGAATGGATTGAAATGGAATAAAGAGGGAATGGGATGGAATGGAATAAAGGGAATGGAATGGAATAAAGAGGGAATGGGATAGAATGGAATAAAGAGGGAATGGAATGAAGTAAAGATGGGATAGAATGGAATGGAATGGAATGGAATGGAATAGAAAAAAGAGGGAATAGAATGGAATGAAATAAAGAGGGATGGAATAAAGAGGGAATGGAATGGATTGAAATGGAATAAAGAGGGAATGGGATGGAATGGAATAAAGAGGGAATGGGATGAAGTAAAGATGGGATAGAATAGAATAGAATAGAAAATATGGAATGGAATAGAATAGAATAGAATAGAATAGAATAGAATAGAATAGAATAGAATAGAATAGAATAGAATAGAATAGAATAGAATAGAAAATATAGAATAGAATAGAATAGAATAGAATAGAATAGAATAGAATAGAATAGAATAGAATGATCATAAGTTACCTTTTTTAGTGCTGCTGTAACTTTGAATGGTCACTAAATGAACTGTTGTAAGTTGAAGACTCCCAGTACATAGCTAAATGTCTATGGAGATTCTCAGTCACCCAGGTCATAGTGGATAAGAAGCGAAATGTCTTCAGAGAAAAAACAAGGAAGTCCAGTTGCCTCGTGAAAAAGCATCTTTGGGACTACTGGTACATCTTTGCCCTTAACTGCCTTTGCCTCAAAGCCCACTCATCCCTCTTCACAACCCCCCCTTGGATTGGACCAGCTGCAGAATCTACTGAGATAATAGCTGGATTTCTCTATCACTCCTCACCAAATATTGCCTGACCCCTCCACTCTGAGTAATATATTGTGCCAGCCCAAGCAGTGTGTGTGCGTGCGCGTGCGCGTGCACGTTTGTGTGTGTGCGAGAGAGGGAGAGAGAGAGAGAGAGGGGGAGAGGGAGGGAGGGAGGGAGGGGGAGAGGGAGGGAGGGGGGGAGAGGGAGGGAGAGAGAGAGGGAGAGAGAGAGAGAGGGAGAGAGAGAGAGATATTTCCTCGCATAATTGTCTTGCAGTCCTGAAAGCAAACTCTCTCTTCATATGTATCTGAGGCTGGGGAGAATCAGAAGCAATCTCTCCAGGGGCCTCATAGAAAATCCAGCCACATCTGGAACAGGTGAAGTTCGGGATTAGGCAAATAAGCAGCCTCCTCCGAAGGAGAAGATTTAGAACAAAGGTTGTTTACCCTCTCCCCCCCCCTCCCCCAGAGAATTAGCACTACCTGATGACACAGTCCTGATGTGTTGCTTTCAGTGTTCATTGTCTAACACATCTGGAAAGTGCCAAGTTGGAAAAGTCTGCCCTAAAAAGACCCAGTTCACAGCTGGGCGTCCTCTATTCATTTATTCACTCCATTTCTGTAGCTGCCCAAATTAACCAAGTGACTCTGGGTGGCTTAAAATGCTAAAACAATTAAAAATATTAAAACAGCGAAAACAAAAACTAAATAAATTTCTCATCACTATCACCCTCAGAATCTCAATTGTTTTGGGGAGGGGGAGAGGAATGAGCTAAGAGCTGTCCCGTTCATCTTTGAATGTGAACCTGCTTAAATGAGACTTTCTGAACCAAAACAGAAAATGGTTTATTAGAGATACACCATTTCTCCCATTTTGGTGCCGTTCTCCCTCACAAAACAGCTGGAGGAAAATGAACTACTGTGTGTTAATTAACACAGGAAAAAATGACTGTAGGGAGAGGGGCTTGCAAAGTAGGGGAATATTCTGGAAAAGGTCATGGAAAATAGAAATGAGAAAGGCCTATTCTGGGGTGATGTGTGACAAGAAATGGAATCGCGTGTGGTTGGAAGAACAAGTAGTGGAACCAACTGGAAATGCTTGGGAGAATCAGAACAACTTCCGGCTGCTTCCTTCTGCTCAGGACAGAGGTCACCTTCATGCCCCAATTCAGTGGTTCTCAACCTGTGGGTCGGGACCCCATTTGGGGTTGAACGACCATTTCACAGGGGTCGCCAAACAAGGCTGTCCACCATTTTTTTCCCCTTTTCTTTGGCCACGCCCCTGGCACCCGGTGATGTATAAGTGGTTGGGGGTCACCACAAGACGGGGAACTGTATTATGGGGTCGTGGCGTTAGAAAGGTTGAGAACCACTGCCCCAATTGGCCCCAGCCGGGATCCTGAAGCTGATGGTCCGAGAATGTGTCTTCTCTCCAGAAAGAGCCTGGAAACCCCTCTGTCTGGGGTTCATCATTAATACCTATCCTTTTCAGACTGCTTGAGCAGTCATATTCTCTGCGGGCTCCGGGGGAAGGTGGCAGTGAGAACAATTAACCAGTGGAACAGAAGTTGCCTCCAGGAGTTTTGGGTGCTCCAACACTGGAGGATTTTAAGAAGAGACTGGACAGCCACTTGTCCAACATGCGATAGGGTCTCCTGATTGTCCAGGGGGGTGGGCTAGAAGACCTCCAAGGTCCCTTCCAGCTCTTATTATTCTGTTAATCACCAAAACAGTTTGTCTCCAAAGATTGTGGGTGCTCCAACACTGGAGCTCTTTAAGGAGAGACTGGACAGCTACTTGTCTGGCTTGGTAGAGGGTCTCCTGCTTGAGCAGGGGGTTGGATTAGATGACCTCCAAGGTCCCTTCCAGCTCTGTAGTTCTGAGTCCTCTCCTTGCTCCTTCTTGGCATTGGCCAATCCAAAGTTCAGAGGCTCGTCTGTGCCAGGAGCCCCAAAGAGGCTCGTCCACCTGGGCTGGGTTCTCAGGACCGCAGGACCGCAGGACCCTTCCCGGATCTTTCCCAGCCCTCCTTCCCCCTGCAGGTGACCAACGAGGAGATGTGTGAAGTTTGTGAAGTGTGGACGGCAGACAGCCTTCTGCCCTGCCGGGTGTGCACCAAGGTCTATCATGACGGCTGCCTGCAGCGCATGGGCCTGCTCTCCCCGGACGAGGCCTCGGAGGCCATCGAGGCGGCCCACTCCACCGTCGGCTGGAGCTGCTACCACTGCGTAAGCCACGGGGCTGGGAGGGGGCCTACAACAGCTCCCCGTGGCCAGCTTACTGCGGCCAACTCATGTGGCCAGCTCGGTGTGGGACAACTCACCGCAGGACAAGTTATCTTAATATCAAAGAAGTAGTGGAATAGACCCATTAAAGGAAGGATGCCAAAGGAGGGAGAAGATAAAATGTGAATGACAGCAATTAAAATATTTTTTTAATTATTTTAAATAATTACATTGAATTGTTGAATTGTCCCGTGGCAAATTGGCCCATTCCGCTGGGAGGGGAGCAGGGAGGCCACGGAGTGCATGAGCCGGGCTGGTCTTGCCAGACCCCTTTTGGGAGATGGGTGCCGAGAAGGATTTGGGGAAGTGGGGCAGGTGTGGGGAATGGCAGAGGGGAGGGGCAGGGGGCAGGGAATATATGGTTGTAGAGGCAAGGTGCATTTAGTTATGGGAAGATACGGGGGGAGGGAGGGAGAGAGTCAGTATAGGACAGGGGTAAGCAACCTTGGCTCTTTTATGACTCGTGGACTTCAACTCCCAGAATTCCTGAGCCAGCCACCCTGAGGGGAAAGGGAGAGGCTTCCAAACTGAGCCATGCTGGCTCAGGAATTCTGGGAGTTGAAGTCCACAAGTCATAAAAGAGCCAAGGTTGCCTACCCCTGGCCTAGGAGGCTCACCGCTTAGAACAGGAGGACTTAGGACAGGGGTAGGTAACCTTGGCTCTTTTATGACTTGTGGACTTCAACTCCCAGAATTCCTGAGCCAGCCATGCTGAGGGGAAAGGGAGAGTTTCCAAGCTGAGCCATGCTGGCTCAGGAATTCTGGGAGCTGAAGTCCACGAATCATAAAAGAGCCAAGGTTGCCTACCCCTGGTATAGGTAGTCCTCGATTTAGCCACAATTGAGCCCAAAGTCTCTGTTGCTAAGCTGTTGACTTTTGCTCCATTTTATGACCTATCTTGCCACCGTTGTTAAGTGAATCACTGCAGTTGTTAAGTTAATAACACAGCTGTTAAGTGAATCTGGCTTCCCCTTTGACTTTTCTTGTGAGAAAGCAGCAAAAGGGGGGATATGGCAACTGTCATAAATACGAGTCAGTCTCCAAGCATCTGAATTTTGAACACGTGGCCTTGGGGATGCTGCAATGGTTGTGTGAAAACAGTCATAAATCCCTTTTTCCAGTGTCGTCGTAACTCAAAAGGTCACTGTTGTAAGTCGAGGACCACCTGCACCTGAGCAATCGTCTGCTCCCTCTCAGGAGACAGAAATTGGGCTTTTTACAAAGGCAGCTGCAGGTTGGGAAAATCGTCCAGAAACTAGGGGGGTGGGAGAGAGAGAGAGACTTCATAGGATGAGTTCAAACAGTGGCTGGAGCAGGAGGCTGGATGGCCAGCTCTGGAATTCTGGGAGTTGAAGTCCACAAGTGATAAAAGGGCTGGAGTTGCTCAGCCCTGAGTTGGAGAACAGCAGGGCAATTTCCAGAGGGAAAAGGGGGGGGGGGCAGTAGGGCATGGCTGCAAAAAATATATGTGAAATCTTGCTTGGGAAATGAGTGGGGCAGGTTGTGGGGTGGGGAGGCTGTACAGTTGCCCATCCAGAAGGCACTACAGTGGGGGGCAAGCAGATTGGCAGACCATCCAGCTATGCAGGGCCACCGGGGGGGGGGCAACAAAGAAGGGTCAGCAGGCACCCACCTTTCTCTCCCCCCACGGTGGAACACAGTCCTAAAAAGGGCCACCTGTGTTGTAACTTCAACCATTCCCTTTTTCCCCCGGCAGGATAACCTGAACTCGCTGCTCACGGAAGAGGAGATGACCTCCCTCTCTGATGCCCTCCGGCAGACCAGCATCTCGCCTGGTAAGGCTGCCAGGAGTGGCCCCCAGACCTGTTTAGGGCAGAGGTGGAGCACTGGCAGAGGGGTCCCCTTCACAGGGCAGAGACCCCCCCCATCTGCTTCAAGAAGTGGTTGAGGCTGGGGAGGAACAGTCCCCAAACCCCGTCTCAGCCAATAGATGGGGGAAGGTTGGGAGGGGCTTTCTCTCATTGGTGGACAGAGGACTGGGGGGGGGCTCCTGCAGGGGCTCCTTTGCCTTGGGGGAGATCAGGCGCCTCCTCTGACCATGATTTGGGGGGGGGGTCCACAGAGAACACCCTGACCCTGGAGGACTTCTTGCGCTACAAGGGCCTGGCAGGGCAGCCCAGCAGTGAGGAAGAAAAGGAACGTCACAGCCTGCAGTTTGCAGCCCTGGACCCCGGGCAGAAGGGCTACATCACCTGGGCGGACTTCCTCTCCCATGAGTCCCTCCTGATGCTGCAGAGATCACGCACGCAGGTGGGGGGCTCTTCTGGAGGGGCTGCAGAGTGGGAAGGAAACAACCCCCCCCCCATGTCAGAGCAGCTCAGTTACCAGGCAAAGAGGCTTGTCCCAATCCTGGGAGTGGGGGAGGCGGTCATCTTTTCCCCACTCCTAGAAGTGAGCATGGGCCCATTATCCCTGCAAAGGCCAGAAGATTTGGGTGGGGGTCCCGCACCCTCCATGAAGCCTCTCCTGCTTTGCTTCCCTCCCCAGGAAGGGCTGCTGCGTCTGCTGACGGCCAAGGAGAGGGAGCGGGCGCGGGAGGCCTTCCTGACCCTAGACCAGCACGGGGAGGGGCGCATCAGCCAGAAGGAGAGCCAGCGCTCCCATCACACCTGGTTCCGAAAACAGCATCCGGGGGCACCCCCCTCCATTGCCAGGTATGACCTTGGCAGGTGAGGGGTGGGTTACCCTGTGGGCCCCTGTGGCTGGCTGGCCATCACTGGAGGAAGGAAGCCTCACCTGCGGGCAGTTTCAACAGCTGGTTTCTCTCCACTTGCAAGTTGCCACCATAGCAGGGCTCTCCACACTTGGCAACATTAAGACTTGGGGACTTCAATAAATCCCAGAATTCTCCAGCCAGCCTGGCAACATTAAGACTTGGAGATTTCAATAAATCCCAGAATTCCCCAGCCAGCTTGGCGACATTAAGACTTGGGGACTTCAATAAATCCCAGAATTCCCCAGCCAGCTTGGTGACATTAAGACTTGGGGACTTCAATAAATCCCAGAATTCCCCAGCTAGCAAGGTGACATTAAGACTTGGGGACTTCAACTCCCAGAATTCCCCAGCCAACATGGCAACATTAAGACTTGGAGATTTCAATAAATCCCAGAATTCCCCAGCCAGCTTGGCGACATTAAGACTTGGGGACTTCAATAAATCCCAGAATTCCCCAGCCAGCTTGGCGACATTAAGACTTGGGGACTTCAATAAATCCCAGAATTCTCCAGCCAACATGGCAACATTAAGACTTGGAGATTTCAATAAATCCCAGAATTCCCCAGCCAGCTTGGCGACATTAAGACTTGGGGACTTCAATAAATCCCAGAATTCCCCAGCCAGCTTGGTGACATTAAGACTTGGGGACTTCAATAAATCCCAGAATTCCCCAGCTAGCAAGGTGACATTAAGACTTGGGGACTTCAACTCCCAGAATTCCCCAGCCAACATGGCAACATTAAGACTTGGGGACTTCAATAAATCCCAGAATTCCCCAGCTAGCAAGGTAACATTAAGACTTGGGGACTTCAACTCCCAGAATTCCCCAGCCAACATGGCAACATTAAGACTTGGGGACTTCAATAAATCCCAGAATTCCCCAGCCAGCAAGGTGACATTAAGACTTGGGGACTTCAACTCCCAGAATTCCCCAGCCAGCATGGCAACATTAAGACTTGGGGATTTCAGCAACTCCCAGAATTCCCCAATTCTGGGAGTTGAAGTCCACAAGCCTTAAAGTGGCCAGGCTTGCCACTCCCTGCCCTTGACCATGTGGGCTGCCAGGGTGGTATGGCCATCAGAGCCAGGTGGGAGGCAGCTGGGGACACAGCTGGACCAAGCAATACAAGGCCACCTTATGCCCAAGTAATCAGGACATTACAGGTGGTCCTTGACTTACGACCTGCCGCTTATCGACCATTGGAAGTTACTTTGGACCCTCCAGAGGTACTTCAGACCCAATTCTGAAGTTCTGATTGCTACCCCCCCCTCCAGCCCACAGTCGCAGGACTGCATTGTGATGGCTTGGCAACAGATGCACATTTACAATTGTTTGCAGCATCCCACAGTCCCGTGACCACGATTTCAAACGTTTTTGCCAAAAGCCAGCATGGATGTCGATTTCCATTAAAACACCCCCTAGCAACGGTTCATTTAACGACTGTTGTGTTCGCTTATTGACCGCTGCAGAAAAGATCCTAAAATGTAGTTGGGTCACCTGATGGCCTGCGTTATACCACTGTAATAATTTATGACCGTAATTGCCAGGCTCAGTTATGATCGCAAATCAAAGAAGACAGAATGGAGGCATGCTTTCTTTCTGGGGGAGGCCATCCTGACACACACACACACCAGCTGAGCAGCATCTATAGAAGAAGCCTTCCTATCTCCCCCCCTCCCCCTGCCGCCCCTTATGCTGGGATGAGTTGTGGCCAATGGGCTGATCCAGCCAGCTTCTTTCCGGATTAGGAGCCCCCTAATCCTGGGCCTGGGTCTGTGTGTGGCTCTCTTTCAGAGTCAGCCAGGTGGAGCCCGTCTCTGAAAGCAGCAGCCAAAGGCAGGAGGACAAAGAGGTGCTCAAAGAAGAGCAGAGGGAACTAAGGTAAGCGCTGAGACCCTTCCCAAAAGATGTCTCCCAAAAGCGAGAGGTCCGGGCAGTGCTGCGGGCCAGGGATCATGGCCAGTTGCAGCCAAAGAACCTCTGGATGTCCACAGTCTCCCTGGAGCAAGACTCTCTCACTTCCACGACAGTAAAAGCTCCTCCTGCATTGTAAGCAAGTCCAAGTTTGAATAATTTGAATAATAAACAGAATAGCAGCCCAGGTGCTTGTAGTGTATAGAGCCCCAACCAGCCCCGTTGACCGAGAGATCTGAAGTAAGCCATGTAGCAAGACTGGGTTCTTCTCAGCCGGTTACTTTCCCATGTGATGGTTCTCCTGGTACCATCTGGGGTGCTTTGAGATGTGGTGCCAAGGAGGTACCCTTTCCACCAGCCCTGGAGGGGGCGGGGAGTGAATGTCTTGCCCCAAATCAAGAAATGCAGAATTTAAGCAGCCTTTTGCATTAAGGATACTGCATAAACATTACAGGTGAGGATGGCTTTAGTGAGGTGTTTCTATATCAGGCCAATGAAATCTGATCTTTGCGTAACTTTGGGTTTTAGCAATATTTCTAGCCTGCCCTAATACTGAAGGATTCTGGACAGTGAATCATAAAGCTTCGACCAGGGGTTTAGACCAGGGTCTCCAAACTTGGCAACTTTGCTTAAAAGCTTAAGATCAGAGGTCTTCAACTTGGCAACTTTAAGACTGGTGGACCTCAGCTCCCAGAATTCCCCAGTGATCAACACTGGCTAAGGAATTCTGGGAGTTGAAGTCCACCAGTCTTAAAGTTGTCAAGTTTGGAGATCCCTGGTTTGGACTAGGTATGTAGGAAAACATGTAAGAAAAATAGGGAAGGCACGGTTACACAGACAAAAATTCCAAATAAAATTAACCATCTAGCTAACCAAGTTACTTACATCTCCCTGACTTAGCCACTCTGGCCCTGCATGAATCAGATACAAAGTTCAGTACAGGTTTGCAACATCTGGCAGAGAACGGAACTGTCAAAAGATTGTCAGGATGCCCAGCTTCGATGTTGGTAGGCAGGCAGACCCTGCTTGTTATTGCTGATTTTTTCTATTCCTTCTTCCAATTTATGGAGCAAGAAGGATAATTGAAAGGTGTCCTCTTTGGGGAAATTGACAGTTGCTTTGCCCAGGTGGGTGAAAATATGCTCCGGATGTAGTCAGCAATTCAAAATTCATTCTGGACAGAAATCCACTTTTTCCCTAATAGTGGACTAAATGAGCTTCTATGAGAGGTTTTTAAGGAAACAAATCTGGATTCCATGTATCGGCTGTCTCATAACTTACAAAGTGCTTTAGGAGGTGCTGTAGTTCCATATTGAATATTATCCTAGCACCCCACTTTCCTGAGAGTCAAAGCAATTAATCAGTGGAACAGAAGTTGCCTCCAGACGTCGTGGGTGCTCCATCACTGGAGGTTTTTAAGAAGAGACTGGACAGACATTTGTCTGAAATGGCATAAGGTCTCCTCCCTGAGCAGGGGGTTGGACTAGATGACCTCCAAGGTCTTTCCAATTCTGTTATTCTATTATTCCGAGCCAGGACAGGCTTGTCAGCTGGTCTAGAGGCCAACATTTCTTGAGCAGAATCCCCACAAGTGTCCCACCGTTAGCCACACCTGGAACGCCTCTCTTCCTGTAGCCGCTTCTACCTTGGGGTCTGCTAACGAGAGGAGTCAGCGCTGACAATTAGCTACGCCTCGTTAGGAATTGAGATGAGGCCCGGCGTTGCCATGGGAACAGTTGGCAGCGGAGCAAGCTGTGAATCTTCAGAGGCGTGGGAGGGATGGCACCTGGCTCAGCCGGGCAGCCGCCATGGTCAAGAAGGAGGCACATGGAGAAAGGGGTTCCTGCTGGAGCAGCAGTTAGAGTGCAGTACTGCAGGCCACTTTAGCTGACTGTGTTCAGCAGGTCAGCGGTTCAAATCTCACCGGCTCCGGGGTAGGTAAAATGAGGACCCAGATTGTTGGGGGCAATGTAAATATATATATACATTGCTTACTGGTGTACACCGCTTAGAGAGTGCTTGCACTTAAAGCGGTATATAAGTCAAATAAATAAATAAATAAGCTGCAACTCTGCAGTCAGGGAAGGACCCAGAGAAGGCTAGACTACCCCGCTGTTCAATTCCTTCCACCACCTGCCTGCCTTTTGCATGGCGGGCGCTCTCCCCCCGCCTGCCGGTTCCCCCACTCAGGCCTGGAGAAGATCCACAGGAGACATGTGGGGATGGCCGCCTCCATTCCTCCAGGCGCTGAAGCCCTTGCCAAGCATCTTGGGGGTCGTCTGGTTGGTTGTCCAAGCCTTGGAGAAGCCTGCAAAATATGAGATCCTGGATCTGTGGTTGGTTTCCAGCAACGTGCAATATGCCTCTTTCTTCATATTGGTGGCGATTAATCGATCCAAGTTTAATCCAAGACCAGGACAAAGAGCGTGTGGCTGGACTATCAGCAGAGCAGCAAAGGGGTGCTTTAGTTGCTGAGTCTCAATTTTTCAGTTTATTAGAAAGGATATCTAATGCAGGGCTTTTCAACCTTTTCACCCACTGTGCCACTTTTAGGATAGGGCAACATCCAAGTACCACCCGTCGCCTAGCAAGGTGTCAAAAACTTGACCAAAAAAAAAAAAGGAAAAAAGTGATGAAGTACAGGTAGTCCTCGACTTACAACAGTTCACTTAGTGACTGTTCGAAGTTACAATGGCACTGAAAAAAGTGCCCCCCAAGGCACAGCTGAGCAAGACACCTGCCTGCTCATCCGGCGGTGCTCTTCCTCCTGTCCGAGGTTTCCATTGTTGTGAGCATTTCTGTTGAAGATCGGCAGTGGGGATGGGGTGGGGGGTGTTTGGTTTTTATTCCCCCCGTCTGCTGGGTGGTTGCAGCAGGTTTTGGTCACTTCACATGACCCTGGGATGCTGTGACAGTCATATATATGAATCAGTTGCCAAGCATCTGAATGTAAATCACAAGACTCTGGAGATGCTGCAACATTCCAGCTGATCGGCACTTCTTCTGGGCTCAGCAGAAGTGCCAGGATCAGCGCCGAGCTCCAGCTGGATCCTGGTGCTGATCCTGGCACTTCCGCTGAGCCCTGACAGTCCCAAAGAAGCGCTGATCCTGGCGCTTCCGCTGAGCCCTGACAACCCTGCAGCTCCAGCCATCTCTCAGGCTTGTGTGGTGCTGCCACCGGTTCAGCTCATTCCCCTCCCCCACTACCACTTTTCTGGGATGGTCGCGTACCACCTGCCTGGTGCCAATGTACCACAAGTGGTACCCGTACCACTGGTTGAAAATCCCTGATCTAATGAATTGCTTTTTTCTTTAGGTAGTCCTCGACTTACAACAGTTCATTTAGTGACCATTCAAAGTTTTAAAAGTAACTTAGAACCGTTTTTCACACTTAACGACCATTGCATCCCTGTGATCAAAACTAAGGCACTTGGCAACTGGCTGGTATTTTATGATCGTGTCCTGGGATCACGTGATCCCCTTTTGGGACCTTCTGACAAGCAAAGTCGATGGGGAAGCCAGACTCACTTAACAACCGTGTGATTAACTTAACGACTGCAGTGACTCACTTAACAACTGTGGCAAGAAAGGTCGTAAAATGAGGCAAAATTCACTTAACATCTGTCTCGTTTAGCAACATAAATTGTGGGCTTAGTTATGGTTGTAAGTTGAGGACTCCCTGCAACGCAGCAGGCAGAAGCCCACGCCTGTCCTCAGCCATTTTTGCTCTCTTTGGCAATCTCTCCGAAGAACCAGCATATCCCACACACTATTTTTCTACCAGCATAAACTGATTAACTGGCCTCTACGGGTTTCTCCACCTTTAATGTTCTACACTAATTCCATGTCTTTAAAGTTTTATGCAAAGATCCACAAATTCGTTTTCTTGGCCTGCTTCCCCATCATTTCTGTAAAATGTGCAGTCGCTCCCTCCCATTTTCACCGTCTAACACATGGGTCTTCAAACTTGGCCCTTTTATGACTTGTGGACTTCAACTCCCAGAATTCCTCAGCCAGCGTGCACGCTGGCTGAGGAATTCTGGGAGTTGAAGTCCACAAGTTATAAAAGGGCCAAGTTTGAAGACCCCCAGTCTAACACAACTACAGTGTCCTTTGGTAAATTTATTTTCAGCTGCTTGCAACTCTTGGCCTCTTGGCAAAGCCGGGGCAAAAACGATTTATGTTCCCAGCCAGCAAAATGGCGTCATCCATGCACCACCACCGATGCGCCTCTGCTCTTACCACAAGTGTCCCTCACATGTTTGTCCATTGATACATTAAGCAATTAGGCGGACATCCCACACCTTTATATGACTGAGATCTACCCCAAGGAGGCACTCTTAAATCTAAAGACCACCTTGCAAATCAAGTTGACCACATCTCCCCGCTATGTGCAGCAGCAGCCAAAAAAGCTAACACAATCCTTGGTTGTATAAACAGAGGCATAGATTGAAGATCACCTAAACTTCTAGTATAGCTTTACAAAGCCTTGTTAAGACCACACTTGGGATACTGCATCTGGTTTTGGTCATCACAATACAAAAAAGATGTTGAGGCTCTGGAAAGAGTGCAGAGAAGAGCAACAAAGATGATTAGGGCAGGGCTTTTCAACTTTTTCACCCATTGTACCACTTTTAGGATATGGCAACATCCAAGTACCACCAGTCTCCTAGCAAGGTGTCAAAAACTTGATGACCTCCCTCCAAAAAAGGAAAAAAGTGATAAAGTACAGGTAGTCCTCGACTTACAACAGTTCGCTTAGTGACTGTTTAAAGTTACAATGGCACTGAAAAAAGTGCTCCCCAAGCCACAGCCGAGCAAGAGACCTGCCTGCCCACCCAGCGGCGCTCTTCCTCCTGTCCGAGGTTTTCATTGTTGTGAGCATTTCTGTTGAGGATTGGCAGTGGGGGTGGGGTGGGGGGTGTTTGGTTTTTATTCCCTCCCGTCTGCTTGGTGGTTGCAGCAGGTTTTGGTCACTTCACATGACCCTGGGACACTGTGACCGTCATAAATATGAATCAGTTGCCAAGCATCTGCATGTACAATCACAAGACCCTGGAGATGCCGCAACATTCCAGCTGATCGGCACTTCTTCTGGGCTCAGCAGAAGTGGCAGGATCAGCGCCGAGCTCCAGCTGGAGTCTGGCGCTGATCCTGGCACTTCTGTTGAGCCCTGACAGCCCTGCAGCTCCAGCCATCTCTCGCTCAGGCTTGTGCGGTGCTGCCACCGGTTCAGCTCATTCCCCTCCCCCGCTACCACTTTTCTAGGATGGTCGCGTACCACCTGCCAGGTGCCAATGTACCACAGGTGGTACCGGTACCACTGGTTGAAAAGCCCTGGATTAGGGGACTGGAGGGTGAAACATAGAATGAACAGTTGCAGGAGCTAGGTATATCTAGAGAAAAGAAGGACTAGGAGTGACATGATAGCAGTCTTCCAATATTTGAGGGGCTGCCACAAAGAAGAGGGAATCAAGCTATTTTCCAAAGCACCTGAAAGCGGGACAAGAAGCAACAGATGGAAACTAATCAAGAAGAGAAGCTACCTGGAATTAAAGAGAAACTTCCTAACAGAACAGTTAACCAGTGGAACAGCTTGCCTCCAGAAGGTGTGGATGCTTAAAAAAAAAACTGGACAGGAACTTGTCTGGAGTGATCTAGCTGGCTCAGGAATTCGGGGAGTTGAAGTCCACCAGTCATAAAAGAGCCAAGGTTGCCTACCCCTGAGCTAGGATCTCCTTCTTGAGCAGTGGTTTCGACTAGAAGACCTCCAAGGTTCCTTTCAGTTCTTTTCTGATTGAGGGGCATGTTGTGTGCTGACAGAATACACTGTTGATTTCTCCTTAAATTACAGATATTCTTAAGGAGTCTGGTAGAACAATTTCCAACAAAAGAAAACATTAAAAAGTTTATTTTTATTTTTTTAAAAATCTACCTTTTAGGACAGTGGTTCTCAACCTTTTTAATGCTGCGACCCCCAACCGGTTGTAAGTCAAGGACTACTCAACCGGTCGTAAGTCGATGACTACTCAACTGGTGCAGCACCGTTTGCAGAATGGGACTTTTGGCAGGCTCAGCAGGGCAGAGTCAGCCTGGACAATTCCTATTGGCTTTGGAAAGCCAATAGAATTAGACTCTATTCAAGAGAGTCTATTCTATTGGCTTTCAAAAGCCAATAGAATAAAAGGGAGTAGCATAGCTAAGGAAAAGGGGGAAAAAATGGCGGACTGCGTTGTTTGGCGACCCCCGTGAAATAGTCGTTCGACCCCAAATGGGGTCCCAACCCACAGGTTGAGAACCACTGTTTTAGGATATGCTCCCGGGGTGTGTGCGGTGTGTTATTATCAGTGTTTGATAGATGCACCATTTGTGAAATGCTTTTCTTTAAAAGAGAGAGAGAGAGCGCATATGGCACCAGGCCAGACCCAGCTCTGGCCATGCGTCCCTAGCCTCAAGCAATGGGGCATGACTCAGACTGGGCACTGTCCTCCCCCTGTTTGGCAGAGGGAGTGGAGCCAGCCTCATCTCATCTCTGGTTGTCCCAAAAGGTGCTTTTTCCAAAAGACAACTGGTTTTTTTCTTCAAATATTTTTCACTTCTCATCCAAGAAACTTCTTCACATCTAACTGACCTGAGTTCCTCACCAAGCTTCTTGAATGAGAAGTGATTTTTTTTTTAAACAAAAGAAAACAAGAAAGTCTAGTTGTCTTTTGGAGAAAGCACCTTTGGGACAACCATAGCCTGGATGACTCTCCAGAGACACTCACCCTGTTTATCTCCTGTTTTGTCCACCCCAGGACCGTCACCTGGCCGGCCTTTTTGAGAGAAAGCACGGTTTACATCCTTGCTGCCCGGCCCAACAGTGCCGCCATCCATCTGAAGCCGCTGATATGAGGCCATTGGGCGGAGACAGGAGAAGGCCAAACATTGTGTCTCCTTAGATGCAACAAAGGAAGGAGCTACTTACCATCATGACACACGCTGGACTGGCTACCCCAAAGTGCCAGAGGCCCCTCAGGAGCTGCATCCCATGTGAGGACAATGGCAGGAGGGCTGATGGAAGCTCCTTTGCCCACCGGGCTCCGGATCCTCCACTCTCTCTCTCAGTCCATGCAGTCTCCCGTGGGCACAGAATGTGGGGTGAAGTGGGGGAGAGGCCCCTTTTCACACTGATTTTAGCATCCTCTCTGGGGAGCCAAATGCCAGAGCAGCCTCCAGTTTCCTTCTGTTTCCCCTTTGGTTTTCCAGCTTGTTTGTTTGTTTCTGACCTTCTAAAGGGATTCTGACAGCATCCTGGCATCTGGAAACCAAATGTGAGCGTCCGTCAGCCCTCTCCCCTCTGCCCAGCAAGGCCAAGCTGTTTTCTGACTGGTCAAGATGGATGGAGCTCAGCAGCTTTCTGGCTTTGAGTGGCCAACAGAGACACAAACCGAGGCCAGCATCACTGCAGTCTCTGGATTCTGGCTGGCCACGGAAACCAGGCCACGGCATGCTGGATTCTTTTGGCTCCAGTTGACCCGAAGGCATTCATCCTGGAGCTTCTGGGGGTGGAGGGCTGACTGGGAACCAGCTTCACCCATTACATTCCCTTCCCTTCGCTGGCGCTTGTTACTGGTCTTCAGCTGAAGAGCCCTTTTGCCACTAGGTTTTCCGAAGGTTTTTTGACGTGTCTGCTGGCCCAATCTTGCTCCCAAAGAGGAACCATCCATGTCAAATCTAACCCTGGCATCGTCTGGCAGCCCACCTTTAGCGGTTGCATTTTGTCCCCCCCCCCCTTTCCTCGCCCATACAGGAGGAGCTGATCCCACCCAGAGGAGCCAAAAGACTTTTTCATTTCTCAGTAAGAACCGCTTTTCCTTCGGAGAGCACCTGCCCTGGAGCTGAGTCCCGGATCTCCTGTCCTGCTGGTCGTTGCCCACCTGCCAGGGAAGCAGAGTTGCCAGTCAGTGAAGCCCCCCACCCATCTTGGGTTTGTTTGCACCCAAGAATCAAAGGGACCCTCAACATCATTTACCTCTAATTTTCCAGCCCTTCCTCCAGTCTCTTGGGGGGGGGTTGAAATGTTAGGGAAGTCATTGACTGTATTGGGGGGAGGGGGAGGGGCTTAGAAACCTCCATCATCTGCAGGCAATCAAAGGGGGGGGGGCAGATTGGAACCCCAAGTTCCACAGATCTCAGAGCCAAGGGCAGGGTAGGCCCTGTGGTCAGGCTTCCTGTACAGGTAGTCCTCGACTTAACAATACTCCATTTAGTGATAATGCAGCCACAACGGCACTAAAAACAATGCCTAATGGCCGTTTTTCACACTTACGACCATTGCAGCGTTCCCATGGTCATGAGATCAAACTTCAGATGCTTGGCAACTGGCATGTACTTATGACGGTTGCTGTGTCCCAAGGTCACGTGATCCCCTTTTGCGATTTTCTGACCAGCAACGTCAATGGGGAAGCCAGATTCATGCAACAACCACGTTATTAACTAATTCACTTAACAATTGAAGCAAGGAAGGGGGCAAAATTCACTTAACCAATTTCTCACTTAGCAGCCTGAATTCTGGGCTCAGTGGCGGTCATAAGTCAAGGACTACCAGTGTTGAGCCTCAGTTCAGCTAATCCTGAGAGCCTGGCAGCTAGTTGTGCAGGTCCTGCCTGAACATCAACACCCCAGGGTGAACAGCTGGTGAATCCCTGCCTGAGCTCCTGGCTTAGTCCCTCCGCAGCCTGCCTGCTTGCAGTGGCCATTCTCATTTTGTGGGAGAAATGGAGAAGCGGGAATCCCGAGTTCCTCCTTGCAGAATTCCCAATTGGTTGGGCTCAAAGGGAAAAAGAACTCCAGATCAAAGCCATAACATTGTCCTAGGCCAGGGGTAGGTAGCCTTGGCTCTTTTATGACTCGTGGACTTCAACTCCCAGAATTCCTGAGCCAGCCTGGCTCAGCTTGGAAGCCTCTCCCTTTCTCCTCAGCATGGCTGGCTCATGAATTCTGGGAGTTGAAGTCCATGAGTCATCAAAGAGCCAAGGCTGCCTACCCATGGACTAGGCCTACCAGTTTCTGATAATCTACTCCTGTCAGGCTTAATAGACTAGGCCAGGGGTAGGTAGCCTTGGCTCTTTTATGACTCGTGGACTTCAACTCCCAGAATTCCTGAGCCAGCCTGGCTCAGCTTGGAAGCCTCTCCCTTTCTCCTCAGCATGGCTGGCTCAGGAATTCTGGGAGTTGAAGTCCACAAGTCATAAAAGAGCCAAGGTTGCCTACCCCTGGCCTAGTCCAGCATCAAAAGAAAACCTTGGTTCATTGGGAAGCAGCTGGTTCTCTGGGGTGAAGTTAAGGAGGGGGGGGAGTCTCTCTCCTTTCTAGCAAGATTGACTGTCGTGGGGAGGATCAGAGGAAATTCTAGGTGGTTTACCTGCCTCCCCATAACCCCAATGGAAATCTGAGATACAGGTAGTCCTCAACTTACAACAGTTCTTTTAGTGACTGCTCCTACAACAGCGTTGAAAAAACTAGCTTATGGCTGTTTTTCACATGAGTGTTGCAACAGCCCCCCTGGTCACGCGATCAAAATACAGACGCTTGGCAACTGACTCATATTTATGACAGCTGCAGTGTTCCAGGGGTCACATGATCCCCTTTTGCAAACTTCTGAAAGCAAAGGCAATGGGAAATCCAGATTCACTTAACCACCGTGTTACTAACTTAATAACTGCGGTGATCCACTTAACAACTGTGGCAAGAAAGGTCGTAAAATAGGGCCAAACTCACTTAAGGGATGTCTCGATTAGCAACTAAAATTTGGGCCTCCGTTGTGGTTGAAAGTCAAGGGCTATCTGTGCTTTTCCATTTCTGCTGCTCTTAAGCAGAGGTGTCCACAGGGCCTGGTCAAAAAGTCAAGATGACAGCCAGAACAGTAAAGTGACCAACCTTTTTACAATGAAAAGGAGGACACAAATAAATTGAAGAAAAAATATTGTAAATAAAAGAAACATTTTATTCGTTGCAACAATAATACAGACAACTTGCATGTGCAAAGTTGCCAGCCGGGTGTTTTGGCACGCTCAGCAGCAATTCCTATTGGTTTTCGAAAGCCAATAGCAGGAGTAGCACAGCTCATGCAAAAGTTGAAAAAAAACCCATCAAAAAAAGTTGCCGGAACACAGTTCTGAGCGTTCTATTAGAAAAAAAAAGCCCTGCAGATTAGTCTTCAAATATCAAAAAGGAGGACATGTAGGAGGACACTTTTCAAGGGAGGACAGAACTTACAAAAGGAGGACTGTCCTCCCTAAAGGAGGATGGTTGGTCACCTTAAGAACAGTAGGATTGAAACTCCACATAAAAAAGCTGGAATTTTGATCACACCATCCTGGCCACTCCTAAGCCATCATTCTATGACCAGAAGCTTATGTCTCCCTAGGAAAAGTTACTTGCCTTTCCTGGATGGGGGTTTAAGCCCTTGGAGGCCTGGTTGTCGTTGCTGCCCATTGTGTCTCCTGACTGCCGCCTCCTTCCAAGAACAATGTTGCAGGATCAGGTCAAAAGCCACCTGCCCTCCAGGACAAGCAACCAAAGACCAAGCAGGCTGGTGATGACCACAACAGCCAAGGCCTTGGCAGCTGGAAGCAGGAGGCCGGCTGCTCCCATCTGTCTCTCCATGGACCCTTCCTAAGATTGTGAGACCAAAACGGGAAGACCCCTGTACTTAAATGTCTATGGAGATTTTCCATCCTCCAGGCCATGGTTGTCCCAAAGGTGCTTTTTCTAAAAGGCAACTGGACTTACTTAATTTTTTTCCTTTGAAAACGTTTCTCTTCTCATCCAAGAAGCTTCTTCAAATCTGATGGTGGCGTCATCTGGTCTCTGAGGGTTGGTCACTAGCTTTCAAACCATTAAGGCAGAAGCTTGTCCCACCCCAAGGACAAAACACCCAGACACAAATTGGGCAATTGGTATACGCCAGTGGTTCTCAACCTGTGGGTCAGGACCCCATTTGGGGTCGAACGACCATTTCACGGGGGTCGCCAAACAACGCAGTCTGCCATTTTTTTCCCCCTTTCCTTAGCTGTGCTACTCCCTTTTATTCTATTGGCTTTTGAAAGCCAGTAGAATAGACTCTCTTGAATAGAGTCTAATTCTATTGGCTTTCAAAAGCCAATAGGAATTGTCCAGGCTGTCTCTGCCCTGCTGAGCCCGCCAAAAGTCCCATTCTGCCAACGGTGCTGCACCAGTTGAGTAGTCCTCGACTTACGACCGGTTGGGGGTTGCGGCATTAAAAAGGTTGAGAACCTCTGGTATATGCAGTGCAGCGCAGCGCAGCGAGACATGTGCAAACCTATTCATTGGGGAAACAAAACAACCATTCCACAAACACATAACATAATACAGGTGAAGAAACCCATCAGGACAAGCTTCATCAGTCCACCTGCATCTGAAAAATGATCACTCTTTTGAAGGCAGCAAAGTCCACATTCTGGACAGAGGGGGCCCCCCCAGTTTGAAAGAGGGGTCAAAGGGGCCATCCAAACGAAGAGTGAACAGCCCTCTCTCAACAGAGGGGGAGGGATACCACACCACCCCTCTCCTGTTCACAACACGGTCCTTTCAGCAGTTCCAAGAAATTTCTACACCCATTTGCGTTATTCAAGTGATCCCGAGGGCACAGATAAACTTCCAAGTGGCCTCAACAACTCTCAGAAAGAACCAGATGACTGCAAGGAATATAAATCCTTCCATTCCCCCACCATTCAGTTAGAACTGAAGAGTCTTCCTGGATGAGAAGCGAAACCTTTTCAAAGAAAATCTCCTGACGGGATTATTCGATGTGTCTGGAAGGTGCCCAGTTTGTATTGAAGGGAGGGGACACCCAGGCTTCCTCTCTTGATTAGAGTTCCCCAAATGTAGGAGAAACAGGGCTGAACCTTGAGATGTAAAAGACCAGCAGATGTTCCTTGGAAAGACACTGGGTAGCCTTCATAGTGCACCCCACTTGTTTCTGGGGGGCCCTTTCAGGACTGAGGGCCACCTTTCTCATTGGGCTCACCAGAGATACCTAAATCCATGGACCGAACCCCGAGACTTTGCACCCCTTCCCCTCCCTTTCAACAGCTCCTGTTAATTCTGTAGTAAGATAACCCAAACTCTGTGATATGAATAAATTAGCTACATTAGTTTGTCTTCTTGCAATATTATTGTGGGGGTTGCATCATTAAGTCCGGGGTTGTTTTCTGTGTGTGTGTTTTATTCTTAACAAGCTATCCATTGAGTGGGAGGGAGGGAATACAGACAAGAATCCTGTCCTTTTTTTCTGAGATTTCACAAGATACGGGCTGGTACATTTTTAAAAAGCTAATACAATCTAGGGTTGTATAAACAGAGGAATAGAATCAAGATGACGCAAAGCATTAGTACCGCTTTATAAAACCCTAGTAAGACCACATCTGGAATACTGCAACCAATTTTGGTCACCATACGACAAAAAAGATGTTGAGAGTTTGGAAAAAGTTCAGAGAAGAGCAACTAAGATGATCAAAGGCCTGGAGACTAAAACATATGAAGAACAGCTGCAGGACTTGGGTTTAGCTAGTCTAAAGAAAAGAAGAAATGGATGACATGTTAGCAGTATTCAAGTATTTGAGGGGCTGCCACAAAGAAGAGGGGGGGTCACATTATTCTCCAAAGCATCTGAAGGCAGGATAAGAAGCAACGGATGGAAACTAATCAAGGAGAGAAGCAACCTGGAATTAAGGAGAAACTTCCTGACAGGGAGGACAATTAACCAGTAGAACAGCTTTGCCTTCTGAAATCGTGGGCGCTCCATCACTGGAGATTTTTAAAAAGAGGATAGTCAGTCACTTGTCTGAAATGGTATAGGTTCTCCTGCTTGAGCAGGGGGCTGGACTAGAAGATCTCCAAGGTCCTTTCCAGCTCTATTCTATTCTATTCTATTCTATTCTATTCTATATTCTGTTCTGCTGTTCTGTTCTATTCTATTTTATATTCTATTCTGCTGTTCTGTTCTATATTCTACATTCTACATTCTATATTCTATTCTGCTATTCTATTCTATTCTATTCTATTC